TCGAACAGCGAAGAACCCACTGATTAAAGCTGGCTGGGGTCAGCTTGGTGATCGAGCTCAAGAAGAAAAGTCGAACCGGGCCATGTTCCTCAAGCAATTGGTCAACTTGTGAGCTGCAGCATGAAGGCGCCTCTCAATTGCTATCCGCTGAGTTTGTTGACGGATTTAAACGACCACTGGCATCTCTCTTGGTTCAGCGACAAGCACGTTCTGACCCAACTTACGTTAAGGTATCCGAAGAACGCGTTCAGATTTATCGAGGCAGCTGTACTGAGACGAACGGAGTCTGCCCCACCTCCTCCGTCATTCATGCCTGGATCTTTCAAAGACAATCAAGGTTGATGACTTCTTGCCCCAGCCGGTTGATGCTCGTGCAGAGGAGATGATGGAACGATACGAGTTGATGGCAGATGTGGTGGAACCAGAGTTTCTCATGGCGAGGCGGATGGATTATGCGCGACAGTTAGTCCAGTCGATGCCTATGTACTCTTACATGTATACGTAGTTCGTCGTTTCGATCTTAACGAGTCACTATCGTGAATGAACTTTTATCGCTGTGTTGTATGTGCCAAAGCTTGCCTAGGACTACCAGCTTTTTAACTTTTCTACCCTGAAAAATATAAAATTAATAATAAACAAAGATGGAGGTATACTCACCTGAGCAATACCAAGAGTGCAGCGCAGAAGCGCTACTACGCGAAGCGCTATTGTGTATTTCCGACCAAATTTGCCGTTTTGGTCCTTTTTAGTGAGTCACTCAAAATACAAATCTCATGTTATTTTGACCTCATTTTGTAAGAGCAAAACGCGAATTTCGGTCAGTTCGAGGCATAAGTGTTTGGTCGTGTCAAATTATGTCTACCGCTCACCAAAAAGTATTTATTTTTGGTTAGAAACGCGTATGCTCTCGTACCAGACTCAGAGATATGGTGAAGCCCTTCTGCGCGATTGTTGGTGTGGCGGGAAGCGCATTCGAGGTGGACATAGACGAGAGTGCGTCGGTTTCCGCGTTAAAGAAGGTGGTCAAGGAGGAGAACGCATCAACGATCACATGCGACGCCAAGAACCTGCAGCTCTTCCTGGCGAAGAAGAAGAAAGGCGCTGGGGTGTGGCTAACGGAGAACGACGTGAAGGACGGTGTCAGTGACACGAGTGATTTGAAGCTGTTGGGCGTGGCAGGAGCGCCGCTCGGCTTGGTTGGCTTGTCGGAGAAGGACGTCAAGTTCGTACCCACGCTAGAGGATGTCGAGTCGATGAACACACCTGTTCACGTGCTGGTGGCGTTGCCTCCTGGGACAAGTAGTGCGCCTATTTCTGATGGGACGGACTTATGGCTGTCGAGATTTCAACATAGTGAAGTTGCAAAACTTACGCTACTGCCGACACGCGTAGATCTTAATGAATTTATCGGACAACCTCTCCCTGTAAAGATTGGGTTACCGCAGTCTGTGTTTCAAGCTTGGTCGAGTCCATCGATACTAGGCTAACTCTCTTCGAGATAAATTGTTCGAGCTAAACGACATTTCGCCGTGCGAATTTTTAAAAGATTCGGTGTTTAGCGCTGCGTTCCTGTACAGGACGCTGGATGGGGATGCCACAGAGAGTGCATTTCATTATTTCTGGGACTCAATTATCCGTGTGGTGCTCGGGTTTGTGTTTAGGCGTGCTTACATCAACCGGGATTTCGAGCAGGAAATCCCTCGTCAGGTTTGGAAGCGACCCGACTTTTTGTTTGCTTTTGGATCATATCTGTGGTTTTTCGTGGGGAGGAAGAAGAACCTTCGTACTTCTATCACTGTGCCTCGTGAAAACGCTGGTGTGGTCCTACGGTGGAGTGCCGTATGTGTTTGGCTATGCTGCGTCGGGCTTCGAGCTAGAATTATTTGCTATCTATCAAGACGTCACGGGCAACGTTAAAACCCACCTTATTGGAGGGTTTAACTTGCAGCATGCGCCGGAACGTTTTCGACTTGTACTGGCACTTCTGAATTTGTGTCTGCTTTTCCCGGCAATTGTGCAAAACTGTCCGGCCTCGGCAGGGACCGAGTTCATGGACATCCATCGCGCCAATGGCGTCAAGGTGCGGTTGAGTCCGATTTTCGTCGATAAGATCTTTCATACGCAAGAAGAGTATCGTCGCGTGAAGCAGATCTACGATTCTTTGAAAGCTTATGGGGTTCCTTGTGCCGATGCAGTTGTCACGGTGGATTCAGACCAATTGAGGTTGACACTTAAGCCCCGCGGCATTGAGATGAAGCCATGCAGCTTGAGTGAACTGTTCGTCGCGCTCGGGAACGTTCTCGAGGCCCTTGTAGTCCTCCATCGCAACGGGTGGATGCACAGAGACATCCGTTGGTCTAACGTGATCAAGCATATCGACCGCGTTGAATGGTTTTTGATCGACTTCGCTGATGCAGCTCAAAGTCGCAGAAATATCCCAGCGGCGGATCACTTGACGCACGACGAACACGCTTCAGATATTTTTATGGAAGGTGGATCCCACACGACTGCGGTTGACTTATGGGCCGTGGGATACCTGGTGAAGACAAGCAAGATTGAACGGGAATGGACTGCGGAGCCCGAAAGAGCGCTTTTCCTAGATCGGTTGATGAACCCAGACCCGAGTGCTCGGCCGACGGCAGACGAAGCCTTACAGCTTCTGTCACGTTTTGAACGTGAAGCTGCTGAGCAGGAATCACAGGGCAAGGGTGTGCGCAAGAAGCACAGACGTGCCTGAATTTTTACATCGCTATGGCACTACCATTACGCGCTGGGACGAAGTACTATGGTACTAACAACGAGTAGTCGATGAATGAGCAACACACGTTTTTCTCATACATACTTCGAATGTATGAGAAATCTCGGTTGACGAGAGAAACTCGTTGACACACGCAGCAGCTATCATGCGGTGCGAATGTGGCCACTGGTTGTCGTATACGCCCGCCTTCACGGCGGCCACCACGATGCTATCTATAGTCGGTTAAGTACACCATCGCAGCCTTCTCTATTAATCCCTGAACGCTGGAAATCGTCGCGGTCTGCACCGTCGCCGGCATGTTTGCGTTGAGGGGACGGTGCCAAAGTTTTTAATATCACTCGTCGTGATTGTGCCGTAGTCGGTGAGTTGAGTGGTAGAATGAAAAGCCGGCCTTTTGCATCTAAATAAGCTCGGAGCAGCGGGAACATCGTGGCACTTGCGCAAACGCCGTCCACGCCGTGCCATTCCACTCCGTTATGTCGGATTGTTATTCGTGGCGAGCCTGTGCATCACGCGGTTCTTTATCACTTGGACGGATTTGCTGTGGTGGCCATAGTGGTGGCCAGCGTCTTGTACGACCACGTGACCGCATCGGCCGAGTTAGCAAACTGACCCTAGAGTATTGAGCGGGAGAGCACGATTACTTCTACGAACTATAAAATGTAGTACATTAGAGCCTTAAGTTGATGCTCCTAGCAGCCAGAGGTGCAAGCATGCAGCTGGTTACTACTACGTAGTACTAATATCCCGCTACTGATGCCAAGCAACTTGGCAAAACTTCATGCGGACGAGTCGGTGGTGTTGAATTAAGCAGGCCCAGTTTCCATGATGGAAAATGGAATCCATCATTCTGACGACCAGACAGTCCGGCAGACTGACCGTCAAGAACTTCTCGAATTGTGGTATCCAGTCACTGCAGTCCAGAGACACTGCCAGTGTGTCCAACAACAAAAAATCGAAGAGGTATTATAGCGGCAGAAAATGAAGGGGCTAGTAATCAAATCCCCATGGGGGGCTCAATTTTGATAAAACCAGATATGACATTTAGATATGTGATAAAACCGCCCATTTTGAGTATGATTTTGGTGTTAAAACCGGCTAATTCGCAGTAGTTTTGTCGCTACAGGCTCCCCAAAAAGGTGTCTCCAAGGACCTTTAAACGGGGAAACAGTTGCTATAATGCTGATATTCTATTGGTCAAGAGTGTGGAAAGGGCAAAACAGTTGTACAAACAGGCGTTAAAAATAGAACGTTCAAATTAAAAAAAAAAGGATTTGTATATATTTAAAGAGTGATTACCCACCATCTTCCTCATGAGCTTCTTGTGGATGGTACATTCTACTAGCGAAAGCATAAAATTGTAAGATTTTCATATGATATCACAACAGAGCAGTTTTAACCCTACATGGGCCAAAACGACAAGCGCACCTCGGCGAAATTGGTGTCTGGGTCGAGGTTCCATGCCCAGAGCACCCGAAAAACTGTGCTTTTCCCAAGGCGCGTCGCCTCTTTAGTTCGATCGCGCGAGTCCCACCCTCCACTTCTGCCTGCTTTGGCCTCGGCGACGAAATAACCATATACATTGCAAACTAGGGTTTTCTCGCCCGGACTGAGCTGGTGTCTGCGTTGCACTGCGCTTCCTGTAATGAAAGAGATGAAGAGTCTAATTTATGGAAGAAGGAACTACGAAACCTCAGCTTTCTATCCGCGCCCTTTGCACTTAATTTAAGGCTATTTTGGGTGAAGTTATCGCCGATTATCCAAAGATAATAATTTATTTTCGGGATTAGCTAGCCCCATCATTTTTCTGCCGGCTATAATACTAATGGGCTGTTCGTCAACATGGCGGCTGAATTTAGAATGTAAAGTTCCAACCACACTATTGATTCGGTTATTAAGAGAAGCGCTGACGCGTTGTACAGAACTCAAGAAAGAAAACGCTGCAAGTCGCAGCATGGTGCGTAGTGACGGCAGGAAGTTCCGGATCTTTGCCCAAAAGAAACCTCAGACGCAACAAATTTTGCCGTTTACACTTGGGTTTTGTATCAGAAAAAAACAACACGACATATGCCTTTGTCGAACAGAAAATTAGATATGCCCATACATGTACTCTACCATACCATACCATACCATAAAATCTCCGACCTCCGACCGTAACATAAAATGTGGTTTAAACAAAAATACTGCATGTACTTGTTAAAATTTATGCATTTATTTTTAAATATTTACCATTTTACTTTAAGTTTAAAAAAAGAGGGAAAGAGGAAGAGAAGGTTGGGACGGCGAGCGAGTGGAGTGGCGGCAATGGTGGCGACGGTGGCGAGCTAGAGTGGAAGAAGCGTGAGGGGGCAGAGTGAATGAGGTGGTGAGCAAGGGTGGCGACGTCCGCGACAGTGGAAGGGCGGCATGCGGGTGGCGGATACTGCAGCAACCGGTACGTAACAGCGGGGAGGCGGCAGTGGGTGGATGGTGTGGAGAGCCCGGGAAGGTGAGGAAAGCACTGCTGGCGATGATCGAGCTGGACGTGAGACTGCGCGTTGTTTGACAGCGCTGCCGTGTGGTCGGCGATTTGGTCCGTGGACGCGGAAGTTCGGGCGTTTGCGCAAGTGTCACGATGTTCCCGCTGCTCCCGAGCTTATTTAGATGCAAAAGACCGGCTTTTCATTCTACCACTCAACTCACCGACTACGGCACAATCACGACGAGTGATATTAAAAACTTTGGCACCGTCCCCTCAACGCAAACATGCCGGCGACGGTGCAGACCGCGACGATTTCCAGTGTTCAGGGATTAATAGAGAAGGCTGCGATGGATAGATAGTATCGGGGTGGCCGCCGTGAAGGCGGGCGTATCCGACAACCAGTGGCCACATTCGCACCGCATGATAGCTGCCGCGTGTGTTAACGAGTTTCTCTCGTCAACCGAGATTTCTCATACATTCGAAGTATGTATGAGAAAAAACGTGTGTTGCTCATTCATCGACTACTCCTGTGTTAGTACCATAGTACTTCGTCCCAGCGCGTAATGGTAGTGCCATAGCGATGTAAAAATTCAGGCGCGTCTGTGCTTCTTGCGCACACCCTTGCCCTGTGATTCCTGCTCAGCAGCTTCACGTTCAAAACGTGACAGAAGCTGTAAGGCTTCGTCTGCCGTCGGCCGAGCACTCGGGTCTGGGTTCATCAACCGATCTAGGAAAAGCGCTCTTTCGGGCTCCGCAGTCCATTCCCGTTCAATCTTACTTGTCTTCACCAGGTATCCCACGGCCCATAAGTCAACCGCAGTCGTGTGGGATCCACCTTCCATAATTATATCTGAAGCGTGTTCGTCGTGCGTCAAGTGATCGCCGCTGGGCATATTTCTGCGGACTTTGAGCTGCATCAGCGAAGTCGATCAAAAACCATTCAACGCGGTCGATATGCTTGATCACGTTAGACCAACGGATGTCTCTGTGCATCCACCCGTTGCGATGGAGGACTACAAGGGCCTCGAGAACGTTCCCGAGCGCGACGAACAGTTCACTCAAGCTGCATGGCTTCATCTCAATGCCGCGGGGCTTAAGTGTCAACCTCAATTGGTCTGAATCCACCGTGACGACTGCATCGGCACAAGGAACCCCATAAGCTTTCAAAGAATCGTAGATCTGCTTCACGCGACGATACTCTTCTTGTGTATGAAAGATCTTATCGACGAGAATCGGACTCAACCGCACCTTGACGCCATTGGCGCGATGGATGTCCATGAACTCGGTCCCTGCCGAGGCCGGACAGTTTTGCACAATTGCCGGGAAAAGCAGACACAAATTCAGAAGTGCCAATACAAGTCGAAAACGTTCCGGCGCATGCTGCAAGTTAAACCCTCCAATAAGGTGGGTTTTAACGTTGCCCGTGACGTCTTGATAGATAGCAAATAATTCTAGCTCGAAGCCCGACGCAGCATAGCCAAACACATACGGCACTCCACCGTAGGACCACACCAGCTTTTTAGAGAGCTCCTCACGAGGCACAGTGATAGAAGTACGAGGTTCTTTCTCCTCACCACGAAAAACACAGATATGATCCAAAGCAAACAAAAAGTCGGGTCGCTTCAAACCTGACGAGGATTTCCTGCTCGAATCCCGGTTGATGTAAGCACGCCTAAACACAAACCCGAGCACCACACGGATAATTGAATCCCAGAAATAATGAAATGCACTCTCTGTGGCATCCCCATCCACCTGCGGGTACAGGAACGCAGCGCTAAACACCGAATCTTTTAAAAATTCGCACGGCGAAATGTCGTTTAGCTCGAACAATTTATCTCGAAGGAGTTGGCCTAGTATCAATGGACTCGACCAAGCTTGAAACACAGACTGCGGTAGCCCAATCTTTACAGGGAGAGGTTGTCCGATAAATTCATTTAGATCTCCGCGTGTCGGCAGTAGCGTAAGTTTTGCAACTTCACTATGTTGAAATCTCGACAGCCACAAGTCCGTCCCATCAGAAATAGGCGCACTACTTGTCCCAGGAGGCAACGCCACCAGCACGTGAATCTGTTTCACTTTCGGGGGATCCATGCCTTCCAGACACTCAGAAATCGGATCTTCTCCCTGCAGCTCCTTTTCTTCTTGCGTTAGAGATTTGACGAGAGCAGTCTTCTCGCCCTTTTTCAGCTTCTTCACATCTTCAGTGAGGCTCGACAGCCATGCGTTGCCCCCCGCCTTTGCCAGGAAGAGCTGCAGGTTCTTGGCGTCGCATGTGATCGTCGATGCGTTCTCCTCCTTGATCGCTTTCTTCAAGTGCCCCACCGACTTGTTCTCGTTAATGTCCACAGGGAACGTGCTCCCAGCTACACCAACGACGGCACAGAACAAAGTAACCATTGTCCTCGAGCCGGCGGATTCTGGAATAAGCGAAAAGGTGCTAAAATGTTGCACCCGTACCTAAGCGGGAAAAGAAGGTGATGTCACAGAAGGGAACGTTCTCTGAGTTTTATCCAGAGTCCCGAGATAATCCAGCGATTTCATTACCCTGTCATAACAGTTTCGAATCGTATGAGTACTCATTTTAAAAGCAGCTTTTAAAAAGCTTCCTTTTCATAAATAATATAATGCACGTAGGCTGACCCATTCACCAAAGATGAAGGCAAAATTCCTGGCTAAAATTGTTTGATGATTCTGTATTGTACCGGTAACCATATTTATTCAAGCCTGCTAGTCGTGATTGGTCCTCTGCTGTCGAAACCCGATAGGACATAACTCAGACTTAGTACAGCACTAGCAGTATGGTCAGATTTCCCTTTCCTGCTGCTTTTTCCTACCTTTTCGCATGGCTACACTCGGCCTACATTTTCGTCCCAGCTTACCGACCGCGCCTACCTTTCTGACTCGACCTAACTATGCAAAAATTACAAATATATCCAAAAGCGTGACACAATTAACTCGCGCCCTGATTGGGCGATATTTGCGGACCTGCGACACTGACTGGACGATCAGACCGTCCCTCGCCCTCGCGATTGGACGTGAGGTACACACTTCTGCCGCGAAGCGCACCGATTGGATGCAAACTGCTTTAACGATTGATTATTTACATTTAGCTACTCCAACCTTTCGTATATGCAGTAAATCGGGCAAAACAACCCCTCATTTGTAAGAGCTCTGTTTTTTTCACACACCTTTCAAAGTAGACGATAGTATTGATATTATTTATGTAGGCTTTAGAGCCCGCATTTTGTAAGAGCTCTGCGATGTTATTTTCCACACACTTCTCAAACTAGAGATGATAGTTTTATTATTAAACTATTCGAAGTTTAATTAACGGAGGCTTCACAACCTTTGCGATAGCTATACCAAGGTATCGCACGCGCGCATGGTACCTACGTGGTAGAGTTTAAAATTATAGCTATTGTTTAAAAACTAAGTTGTGCTCGCAAAAAGAAAAAAAAACATTATTGAAGCGATTGCAAAATTTTATTATTTGTTTAATTACGGGTACCAGCATTAAATGGCCGTGTAATTGGCTGATATTTCTGACGTATTTTATGATTTAAATAATATAGTACTTATGATAAAATAAGGCTACTATAGATTTCGCTTAATAAAATACACCCAGCAGTAAATATCCTAAGAATACCTAATATTTTACGCACGTTAGTAATCGTAAGAGTTTGCCCACAGTTTGCAACATGGCGAGGCCCACGTCGAGCAAAACCAAGATTGACCTGCTTCTCCTGAATCGGCAGCGGTCTGCGACAGATTCTCGGGCGCCTTGAGTCTGCTGTAGGAAACTGCAGTACGGCTACACGTTCCGCACAATCAGCGGGTGGGACATCGTGCGGCGCTGTATTGCCTGCGAGAACATCCCAAAAGCGGTTGAGTTCTGGGAGGAAAAGCCCCCCCCCACCTAATTCGGCCGAAGTGCGATGCCAGGAAAGCATGGCAAACATCAAGAAGGCGATGGGTCCTGACTGTTGCACCAAGAAAAAAAAATAAGCGAAGCCACCCTCGCAAGCTGACCGCCCGAACCGCCAAGTATATCGAGCAAAAGAAGCAGAAGAGGATCAAATGATAAGAATATACTCCCTTTTAGGCCCCCATTTTCCTTCCTATCTTTGTGTTTTGTACGGTGGGGGGGGGGCAACGCGAGGCTTAGAGCCGAGCATACGGTTAGCTGACTATGGAGCTGATAGTAGTGCTGACGCACCTACAGAGTGTAGCGCGTTTCATATAATATTTATTACATGGCATCTACTGTGTAGATCATCGGCGCATCCCTTAGCCCGAAGGGCATGCGTAACCACTCGAAGTGTCCTAGTGCACATACAAACGCCGATACTTTACGTGCTCACAAGGTCATCATGACGGCTCAGAAGCCGCTTGCAGCATCCAGCGAGCAAAACCATAGGTAGCACTCGAGATCAGTCAACAAATTGTCGACTAGCGGCATTGCATACTCCATGATTGCGGTGATGGCATTCACCATCTTGTAATCAATGCAGAGCCGGATGTCCAGCCCGTTCTTTTTCATCACAATCACAATCAGCGTTGCCCATGGACTGCTTGAAAAGACGATCAATCCTGCTCTCAACAAAGTCCGTAGCAGCACGCGTCGGGCACGCTGTTCGATTGGGGCATGCCCCTGCGTGTCGATATCGCATACGGCGCCGTAGGCTGGCGGCGGCGGTGCGTTGCCACTAGCAATCATGATGTGCTCGTGGTTCTTAAGCGTTGGAGCTATACGCTCTCAGCGATCGGTCGACAGCTTGGGATCAGCAACATTGGGTGCATTGTAGTCTATCGTCGTGTTGGTTCTTCGGTAAGGCCTGGCAGGAAGGCCAAGCCCTTTGCGTTGTCTTCCAGACCGATGTTGTTAGCTGGGTGCTCGCAGAAATCACTTCTTGTGTCCTCCGTTACTTTATTTCCTTCGGCTGTTAGCACGCGAGCACCCGACATGAACGTTTCGTCCAAAGTCGCGACGGACTCTTCCCTCAACGCAACGTCGGCATCCGCTTCGATTTGAGCTCTCGGTACTGGGTCCATCCCCTTCTTCGCCTGGTTTCCTATCGCTGGGCCGCCTGCCGAATCTTTGTTCGCAATATTGAATGCGCAGGCAGCCGACATATTGGGCTGTTCACTTCTGTTCAGCTCCTCGGATGACCGTTGTCTTGACAGTCCGGCATTCGCTCCAATCTCGCAACGAACACTTGGTGCCGTGTTCACCACTTTCAGTACGACGTCTGCGTATTCTGCACCAACCACCGATGATTCGTTCGCAAATTCGGCTGCGTGCAAGCCCGGGACAATATCGTCTAAACTGGTGTCTCCATCTGATCCAGTGCTGTTACTTGTCGATCTTGCTGTCACCCAGACTCGAAACGAACACTCGTTGGCGTATGTACAACTTTTACGGAGCTCAGTCGCTCGTGTGTACGCGCTACCGAGGCTTCGTTT